CGCTATGAGTCAGAATTGACTTGATGGCAACGGGTTTTTGGTTTGGGTAGTTGGCATGTCTGAGGTTCCTGCAGTGAGGCCAGGAGAAGTGACTAATATCCCTCTTGCTCTCAGATTCCCAGGAGCTGCCTAGGATGGCAGCCCTGGCCCCCTTGTTGCTGTGAGAGCTCAGGGCCTGTCATGAGCTCCCTAGGGCCACAGAAATAACGGCCCAGCAGGGCCAAACCAGGAGTGTGCCCTCTCCTGTGCTATATCCTCTGCACCTCCCCCTCAGGTATAGCCTTCCAGGAAATAAAGCTTGCAGAGCATTAGGCGAGAAAGGCTCCAGTTTCACTTCTGGGCATAAGGCCAGCTGCCAGGCCAGCACCTCCTGGTGAGGCCTGCAGGCATGTGTCTGCTGGGCAGGCTGAGCCCAGGGCCAGGGAGGCTTGGGGCCAAGTATGAGGCCTGGATGGAGGGAGGCAGTGGGCCAGGCCTTCCAACCTCTTTCCTTCCCATGTCTGAAAGGGAATCCCCCAGAGATGTACCTGCAGCAGGACAAATAGGGCAAGAAGGTACACATGCTGCAGTCATGTGTGGGGAGTGAGCTGTGGGTGATCTGTGGGGTGTGAGGAGCACCGGGGAGGGAATTCACTGCCGCTGACTGTCTCCTCTGGGCTAGGAGCAGAACTGGGTGCTTAATGTGAGCTTTCCAGGCATCTCTCAGTCAACTGCCCACCACTACTATTGTTGTTGTTATTAGATATGCTGTCAAGTCGATTCCGACTCACGGCGACCCCACGTGTGCAGAGCACAACTGCTCCATAGGGTTTTCAAGGCTGTGATCTTTTGGAAGCGGATTGCCAGGCCTGTCTTCCGAGGTGCCTCTGGGTGAGTTCAAACTGCCAACCTTTCAGCTAGTAGTCAAGCGTTTAACTATTAGTGTGCCACCCAGGGACTCACCAACACGACAGAAAAAAAAAACAAAACAAAACCCAAACCCATTGCCATCTAGTTGATTCTGACTCCTAGCTAGGGGGCAGAAATCAGTAGCTGACTTTTCCAGGCAGGGCTTTGGCTGGTTCATCCACCTGAGGACGCCCAGCCAGTGGGTTCAGGGCTGGGGATGAGTACTGAAGACTGCCTGATCCCAAAGCACAGCACGCTCAACAACGCCACCAGGACGTGGCACGTGGGCAGGTTCCCAAGATGCTCGTTCCGACACCTCTCTCTCCACACGGGCTGCCTTGCCCTCGAGAAGCCAGGATTAGCCAGCAGATGTCCAGGGGGAGCCTGGACATTTTTGGATGTGGGGAGTGGGAGTGGGGGAGTGGGAGAGTAGACCTAGCAGTGAGGTAGCTAATGGCCGATTAGACTCAGCTCCCTTGGGCAGGGGTTTGATTGGTTCTGGTGGGGAGAGGGATGGAAGGAGACAGGCTCCTCTGCCCCCTGCATCCTCCCTTCTTGCCATCCCTCTGCCCCCCACAATCTGGGAGGCCATGAGAGGCAAAGAAGCCCTGTCTCACCCTCCAGAAGGTCCCTTCATCTGAACGCCACACTCACTGGAGAAGCTCTGCCAGGGGCAGAGGAAGGGGCACTGGGCTGGGGGGCAGGGGGTCTGGTTGCCCCTGGTCATCATTTGAATGGAGACCCCAGTGGGCTAGCTGTATCCGGGCTCTGAGTTACAAATGGTCCCCATATTCCCTCTAGTTTCAGCATCTAAACTTGCCTGGGAGTTACCGTATTTATAGTTAGAAGGGGAACGCACACCTGTGCCCTGTGCTTTACATGCACTACGACCTTCCCACGGGCCTTTTACAGATGAGGAAACAGACTCCGAGTAAACCCCTTGCCCCAAAACACACAGCTTAGCTAGCAGGGGCAGAGCTGGAACCGGAGTTTTTGCTA